CAGAGGCACTAAACATTAAAAAAAAGGAAACTGAGAAAGACATCATAGAAAACCACCAAACCAAACTGGCAAACAGAAACACAAGGAAAAAGAAACAATGGAGATATAGAACAACCAGAAAACAAAAGATGAAATGGCAATACTAAGTCTTCATCTATCAATAATCATCCTAAATGTAAATGTATTGACTTCACCAATCAGAAGACACAGAGTGGGGCTTCCCTGGTGGCGCAGTGGTTAAGAATCTGCCTGCAGGGGACACGGGTTTGAGCCCTGGTCCGGGAAGATCCCACATGCTGCAGAGCAATTAAGCCCGTGCACCACAACTACTGAGCCTGCGCTCTAGAGCCCATGAGCCACAACTACTGAGCCTGCATGCCACAACTACTGAAGCCCACATGCCTAGAGCCCATGCTCCACAAGAGAAGCCACCACAATGAGAAGCCTGCACACCGCAACAAAGAGTAGCCCCCACTCGCTGCAACTAGAGAAAGCCCACGCGCAGCAACAAAGACCCAATGTGGCCAAAAAATAAAATAAATAAATAAATTAAAAAACAAACAAACAAAAAAACCCCACAAAAGACACAGAGTGGCTGGATGGATTAAAAAATAAGATCCACCTATATGCTGCCTCCAGGAGACTCAGCTCAGCACTAAAGACAAACAGGCTCAAAGTGAAGGGATGGAAGATGATACTCCAAGCAAATGGCAGCCAAAAGAAAGCGGGTATAATTAATACTCACATCAGGCAAAATACACATCAAGAAAAAAAGTTAACAAGAGACAAAGATGGACATTACATAATGACAAAGGGGACAATTCATTAAGAAGACAAGTTTTTCAGTATATGTACACCTAATTCAGGAGCACCAAAATATATAAAGCAATTATTAACAGACCTAAAGGAAGAAACTGACAGCAACATAGTAATAGTTGGGGACTTTTAACACCCAAATGACATCAATGGATAGATCATCCAGATAGAAAGTTAATAAGGGAACAGCAGCCTTAAATGAAACATTAGACCAGATAGATTTGTACAGAACACTGTATCTAAGTGCAACAGAATACATATTCTTCTCAAGTGCACAAGGAACTTTCTCAAAAATAGATCATATTGATATGTTGAGGCACAAAACAGGTCTCAATAAATATAAGAAGACTGAAATCGTATCAAAAATCTTTTCTGATCACGTGAAACTACTACAACAATGTAGAAATCAACTACAAGAAGAAAGCTGGAAAAATCACCAATATGTGGAGACTGAACAACATGCTACTGAACAACTATTGGGTCAGCAAAGAAATCGAAGGAGAAATTAAAAATACTAAAGATGAAATGAAAATAAGACATACCAAAATCTATGGGATGCAACAAAAGTGGTATTAAAAGGGAAATTGAAAGCAATACAGGCCTACCTCAAGAAACAAGAAAAATCCTGAATAAACAATCTAACCTCACACCTAAGGGAACCAGAAAGAGAGCAAATGAAGCCCCAAAGTCAGCAGAAGGAAGGAAATAATAAAGATCAGAGTAGGAATAAATGAAATAGAGACTAAAAAGACAACAGTAAAGATCAATGAAACTAACAGCTGGTTCTTTGAAAAGATAAACAAAAGATAAACAAAATTGACAAACTTTTAGATAGACTCAGAAAGAAAAAGAGATAAGGCTCTGATAAATAAAATCAGAAACGAAAGAGGGGAAATAACTATGAGTACCACAGAAATACAAAGGATTATAAAAGAATATTATGACTAGCTATATGCCAACAACTGGACAACCTAGAAGAAATGGACAAATCTTAGAATCATACAACCTTCCAAGACTAAATCATAAAGAAATAGAAAATGTGAATAGACCAAACCCTAGTAAAGAGACTGAAATAGTAATTAAAAAACCTCCCCCAAAACAAAACATTACCCTGATACCAAAACCAGACAAGGACAACACAAAAAAGAAAATTAGAGGCCCATATCTCTGATGAGCATAGAGAACTGTATGGTGACAAATGGGAACTAAATTTTCGATGGTGAGCACCCTGTAGTGCTTATAGAAGTAGAAATCTAATGTTGTACATGTGAAATTTATATAATGTTATAAACCAATGTTACCTCAATAAAAAGTAAATTTAAAAAAATAAATAAATTTAACTACATAAAAATGTAAAACTTCAGTAAGGGCAAAAAGTATACCATAAGGAAAATCAAAAGGCAAATGACAAATTTGGAAAATATATAAGCAATTTATATTATAGACAAAGGACTATCCTCCACATTATATAAAGTTCCTCAAAGCCCATAAGAAAAAAGACCAACAACCTATCAGAAAATGTGCAAAATGATATGAACAGAGGGCTCATAGGTTCAATAAAAGACATAAAATCTGCTAAAAGATCTGCTTTTCATAGAGGACTCCACTATCAATCAGGTAGAGTGCACTAGGGCTGAGTAGCTGGGAGTATGAACCCCTAGGGGCTAATATAAGGGACTTCAGAATTAAAGATTTGGGCACTGGGACACTGTCAACAATAATTATCAAGAAGAAATTCCCATAAATAAAATAGTTTCTTCCCTTACCTGATTTAGCATGACATCATAGACATCATTTCCTTCACAGTATACATGGGCCTAGAGAGAAAAGGAAAAAAGTGACATTTGTACAGTCACAGCCCTGATGAGATCCTAAGCGAGGCTCTAAATTTTCTTATGCCTCGAGGTAGTATTCTCCCACTCTACCAACATGCATCTTCCAGGGAAAGAAATGCAAAAATATGTTCTTCTACACATAAACTGTCATTCCTATGATGAAAACATGTTGCCTTTTTGTAATTACAGAAATACAGATCAGTCTAACTCAGTTAAAGGAAACCTGTTCCAGAGGAAGCCTTTCTTCTGTATTCTTCAAATCCTTTTCCCATTCATCAGTAACTCATGCAATACATACCAGGGCAGTTTCTCATTAGAACATTGATAATGATACAATTTTCTAACTGAGAAAGAGAATGAGGTGTGGAAAGCTGATGACGACTCCGGAAGTTAACCATGCCAAAAATCACCCTGATGATTACCCCCAAACCCCACCCCTGCCGTCACTCAGCCTTGGAGAGAGTTAATCACTAGTAATATTTTGCAGAGCATTCCTAAAATGGATACTAGCAATGTTCCAGACAGGAATCCCAGTAACAAACGAACAACTGCTCCCTGAGAAATCAATGGGAGTCTCTCACCTTCCCCACCTTGGCTGTGCACTCTGGGTCCACTGGAGCTTTGCCCTTTAACAGCAAGGTCTTTACAGACTCTGAGGAAAGACAGATATGTACCACATCTACTTGTATGGGAATCAAAATTATCTGTCATGGTTAGACAGAAACCTGTCATAATTAACTTTGCCCTTCCCAAGCACTCCTGATCTGCCCAGGTCTCAGTTCATCTCAAATACAGGAAACTGAAGATTTTGAGAAAGTAGTTTAGTCCTGTGGTATGCCCAAAAGATAGAAAGTTAATTATATCTTCAAGAAAGGAAGAAATAAGAGTTGAAAAAACAAGATACCACCCCCCGACCCTCACCCCTCCCAGAGACCCCTTGCTGGCCCAGGTGCTCCCTGGCCTATGTATGTCCGAGAGCTGACCTTGCTTGTTTTCCGTCCTGTCATTATCAGCCTTTCCTCCAGCCACAGGCTCCTTTTTCATCTTCTGGCATTTTCGAATTTTCTTTGCAGGTGGAGGGTCTTCTGTAGCTGTTTTGCCATTATTAACTCTTTCAGCTTCATTCAGTGATACAGAATGGGCAAAAGCATGGGCAAAGAAGCAAAAGAAAGAATGAGTACACACTGAATATGATGCTACTTTGAAAAAACATCTTTTTAAAGAAATAGATTGAGGTGGTTTTGTAAATTTACAAAGAAATAATAACTGCCACACCACTGTTCTTGAAAACAGTGTGAGTTCCTGAATTGCTATTCTAGCCACATAAAACTAAACAAAGCAAAATGGAGCCCTGAGGTCCTTGTGAGCTCATGGCCTGAGGCATGAGTCTCATAGCCTGCTTATCTCTTCCGTTTACTTGTGCCCCAGTACCACCCAAATATCTATTGTCAAACTACCTAAGGTGGTATGAGATAATGGTTACTAGAGTGCTCTGGAGTCTGTGCCTAACTTAGAGCCCAGCCCTGTCTCTTTCAGCTGTTTAATCGCGTAGAAGTTATTTCATCTCTTAGTACCTCAGTTGCCCCAACTGATAAATCCAGAGGAAGACAACACAGTACCGAATTTGTGGGGTGGACCTATGCACGTAAGAACACAATACACAGAGTATGATATCTCATCATAAGTCAGTTCTAAGAGTTGCATTTTATTATCTCCGAAACTGGGATGCATTTTACCGCGGATGACTTATAAGTAGTGAATCATGTTTTAATTGGAAGCGTTTCTCCTTGCTTAGTGGTACATAAAAGAATGATGCACCTTACAATTAATTTTTTTTAACTGGATGACATTAGGTATTTAAGATAGTGCTGGCACTAAGTTAGTTGTTACAGGTCAACAAGCTGTTATACACAGTTCTGTAATCCCAAAAGCTCTTGAGAACAGAAAATTTCAAAGTTCGGTACCAAGACAAGTGCTGGTTCAGGCGGCGATGGAAGTAGGAAGGGCTATAGCAGAGGGCACCGTTCCTTTTCTGACTTCCCGCCCCCCAGCCTTCTGCCCCCCACAATGCACTCCAAACCTCGCGCCCAGCTGCCGCCTGTCCCCCGCCGCCGCCGAGCTGCCATGGAGCCAGAACGCTGACGTCATCAACCCTCTCCCAAGTATCGCCGGCGCAGTCAAAAGGCGGGAGCACGTAGTGCGCGTGCGTCCCAGCGAGGAGTTGCCAGGGGAGGAACGCTCCGCAGTATTTGCATGTCGCAATGTGTTACGGGAAGTCACCATAACCGACAAATGTATTTCGGTTTGCGAGCCTTATAAATGTGGCTTGAGCCTGGTTTTCAGCGTAGGGCGGCGGGAAGCTCATCGATGGGGCCACGAGCTGAGTGCGTCCAGTCACTCCGTCCCATGTCCCTTGGGAAGGTCTGAGACTAGGGCCAAAAGCGGCCCTAACAGGGCTCTCCCTGAGTTGCGGGGAGGTGAGTTCCCAGAGAATGGGGCTCCGCGCGAGGGCAGACTGGGCAGGAGATGCCATTGACCCCGCCCTTGCGGAGGGGCTTGGCGGATGCCTCCTTAGCCGGAGCTTGGAACAGACTCACGGCCAGCGAAGTGAGTTCAATGGCTGAGGTGAGGTACCCTATATGGGGGCCTCATAACCCAATTCAGACTACTCTCCCCCCCGTCCTCTTTTAAGTTGTGGAAGCTACAGAGAATGCTAATGAACTCGGAAGACCTGGTCAAGGGAATATTAGAAAAGGTGGGTACCACCACCCCGCTGGGAACATATACCTGAAGCTCTGTCTCAGACCCTCTGAATTAAAAACTGAGAGTCTGCATTTTTAACAAGAACAACCAGTGTATTGGTGATTTTCATGTAGATTATAGATATTTATTCATTACTTCAGCATATTTATTGGACACTTTGGTGGGTTCTGGGGATATGGTAGTTTAGCCAATATAGACATGGTTCATGTCTTCATGGACCTTAGAGTCTCGTTGGGGACAGACATTAATCAAGTAATTACACAAGCAAAAGTACAGCAGCAACAAGCGCTATAAGAAATACACAGTACTAAGGGAAGTTGTAATGGGAGAACAAACTGGGGGACTCATCACTAAGTAAATGACAGGAGTTGAGCTGTATCAGAAGAATCAGTCAGTAAAGAGGAGAGACACGGAGTGGCTGGAGCAATGAAAGCGGGAAGTGTGGTGTGAGACGAGCTGGAGAGGCAGCCAGGGCCCACAGCAAGCCAGGCTTTCCAGGTCAAGGCGAGAATTGTGATTTGTTCTAATACGGATGTGTGTGTGTGTGTGTGTGTGTGTGTGTGTGTGAACTACAGATGGATTAAGGACTGACATTCAAAAATAAACTTGAAAACTCTTAGGTAGAAAATACACGTAAAAGACATAGAGGACACTTGTGGTTGCCAAGGGGAAGAGAGGTGGGGGAGGGAAGGATTGGGAGTTTGCCATTAACAGATGCAAACTAATATATATATAGGATGGATAAACAACAAGGTCCAATGGGAACATTATATTCAATATCCTGTGATAAACCATAATGGTAAAGAACATGAAAAGATATGTATCTATAACTGAGTCACTTTGCTGTACAGCAGAAATTAACACAACGTTGTAAATCAACTATACTTCAGTAAAGTTTAAAGAAAATACACATAAATATCTTTTAGACCTTGAGAGAAGGGACGGGTTTCTAAAGACACAAACGTCATTGAGTATGAGAGAAAATATTGATAAATTTAATTATATTAAAATTGAGAAATTTTGTTCACCAAAACATGTAAAGTTTAGAAAGAAGAAAATAAATTTTTCTCATTATTTGCATGTGGTTTGATTATGGATAAAAAATCCAGAAGAAACTGGGGGATCAATTTTTTAACTCAATAAGGAAGCTTAGCAAGGCTGCTAGAAAGTAACATGTAAGAGTAAATTTTATCTTTATAAAAGAGCTTCAAACAAGGAGAAACAGAATTTTTAGGAAAGATACCACTTATAATAACATAAAAGCATATCAAGTACTTAGGGATAAATCTAACAAAATATAAGTGTTCAACAAATATTTGTTGGATTGGATGGGATTGGTTAATCTGTTTCTGAGATATGTCAAAGCCTGTTGCATCTGACTTAATTATGGCACAAACAAGCTAGACTGGTGTAAAAGGCATTAATTTGGAAATAGGAAGACAATAAAAATCAGTTTATTAAAAATAGTTAATACTGAGTAGAACTTTCTTTGTGGACTAGACATTGAGCTAAGTGCTCTCTACATACATAACCTCATTTAATCTTTATAATGATAATAGCTAGAATTTATTTAGTGCTTACTATGCTATGAGCTTTACATATATTATTTAATTCTCACAACAACCCTACAGGGCAGGTATTATTACTATCTCCATTTTACAGTTGAGGAAATTGAACTTTAGAAAAATGTAAGTAATTTATTCAAGGTCACACAGTGTATTGGTTTGCTAGGGCTGCCATAACTAAGAAGTACAGACTGGGTTGCTCAAGCAGCAAAAATTTATTTTCTCAAAATTCTGAAGGCTGTAAGTCCAAGATAAAGGTGTTGGCAGTGTGGGTTTCTTTCTTTTTTTAATTAATTAATTATTGGCTGCGTTGGGTCTTCGTTGCTGCGCGCGGGCTTTTCTCTAGTTGTGGTGAGCGGGGTGGGGGGGTACTCTCCGTTGCGGTGCGCGGGCGGCGCTTTCTCTTGTTGCAGAGCACGGGCTCTAGGTGCGTGGGCTTCAGTAGTTGTGGCTCGCAGGCTCTAGAGTGCAGAGCTCAGTAGTGGTGCACGGGCTTTGTTGCTCCACGGCATTTAGGATCTTCACCCGTGTCCTCTGCATTGGCAGGCGGATTCTCAACCACTGTGACAGCAGGGAAGACCCAGTGTGGCTTTCTTATAAATCCTTTCTCCTTGGATTGCAGGTGGATGTCTGCTTCCAGTATCTTTCCTGCTAAGCCTGTTAACTTGAATATTACGCTGATGGTAAGTTCTAACTTGAGTAGATCTAGACTGTTTATAATGAAACCTGTCACCTTGCATAAATTAACCATGTTTGAGGTCACAAAGGATACGAAATTATCCCAAAAGAATGAAAATTGTTTGCAGTAGGTCCAACTGAACAAGAACGTGTGTAAATAGCTCGAATTAGCCCATGTTTGCTTGTGCTAAGTATATTAAAAGGAAACTTGGTTTAAAAAGTTTAATCTAAAAACAGTGCAAGTAGCATCATTGGTCCTTAAAGAGACAAGTAGGTGAAGTGGGGGGGGAGGTTTGCATCATTTCAACACCTTTTAAGGTAAAGGAGGAGGGAATCATCATTAGCCAATCAGGCTCTGAGGCCACTTCTCAAAGCTACTTCCTGTCTCTCCACCTCTCTTTCCTTTTAGTGGTGGGCTGGTGAGTGTGCACTTAATTTTGCTTCCTAATTGTTTTGAATTTCTCTTCAATTTGAGCCATTGTATCCTGGTGGCAGGCCTTTATTTCAAGCCAGCCTTGGAGTGTGGGTGAGCTACAGGTGATTAATTTTGGCTGTGTGGAGATTGGAGGAAGGAAGTGAAATGATCTGCCTGGCTTGTTTCCACGTGGGCCTCTGCTGGACTGGGTCTGCCTTCCTTCTCCGAAACAGGGTGACCTAAGAACAGTAGACTCTGCTTCATGTACATAGTGTTTCTGCACAATGCCTGGATTCATTTCGCTTGGAGGAAAATGTACTGTTATTATCTCAGTGCTGTTTTGACTTCTGTCCCCCTTAGTGAGAGGGTAGAGCTTGGGAGGAGGAGTTCAGACTAGTCAGTTTTAATTCTCCTGTATCTTCGGGGCCCAGGTTCTTACTGGGTTTGTGGGAGCTGCAGTGGATGTTGTCTTTGCCCTGGTCTTTGTTCAGAGCAGTTCGGCTTTCTTAGTGGGACTAGGCTGCAAGCTCTGAAGTCAGATGATTTTAATGAGCTCTAAAAGGGGCTCCCAATTTTAATGTCGGCACTGTGCCCTAAAAAGCTTAGGATATACTGAAAAAGATGAGGGGCCTTAGTGTAGTGCAAGCCTAAATCAAATTCCAGCACCACAATTTACTCCTCCAGTGATCTTGGGTGAGTCATTGAACTATTCTTAGGCTTAGCTTTTTAAAAATTAATTAATTAATTAATGACTGCGTTGGGTCTTCATTGCTGCGCACGGTCTTTCTCTAGTTGTGGCGAGCGGGGACTACTCTTCGATGCGGTGTGCAGGCTTCTCATTGCAATGGCTTCTCTTGTTGCAGAGCACGGGCTCTAGTCGTGTGGGCTTCAGTAGTTGTAGCACTCAGGCTCAGTAGTTGTGGCTTACAGGCTCTAGAGCACAGGCTCAGTAGTTGTGGCGTGCCGGCTTAGTTGCTCTGCAGCATGTGGGATCTTCCTCCACCAGAGCTCGAACCCATATAACTTGCATTAGCAGGCGGGTTCTTAACCACTGCACCACCAGGGAAGTTCCAGGCTTACCTTTTGAAGATCAAAGTATACAAAGTCCAAACACTAGTCCATGTGACATACCTTCTAGAATTAGGCAATAAATTTATTGTGGATATTATTTTTCTCATAAAAAGTTTGCCTAGTGACTTTGAGTGACATACATTAGTCTGAATATAATGTATGTGTTATCCTTACAGGTAGAAGGTATGAGAGAGACATAAACTAGTGCATGGAATGTGGTAATAGCCAGGTGTAGATCCCCCATAATCCTTATAATTCTCAAGCTTTACTGTTAAATTTATGTTATTTGAATAGGTAATACATTCACATTGCTCAAAATTCAAAAGGGATCATAGTGTACATAATGAAGTCTCCTAAGCCTGATTCCCCTCCTCAGTAAGTGTTAATAAGTTCTTGTGTATCTTTCCTGATATATTTTATGCGTATATAAGCAAATATATGTAGTTACCCCTCTTCTATACATACTCTACCATGTATCTTACTTTTCCCACTTAGTGTTTCCAAGTGAGAAAATATAGAAGGTCCACATTCTTTAACATGGTTACATAGAAATCTATGTATGTACATACCATAGTTTACTTAACGTTTGTTGGTGTACATTTAGGTGGTTTACAATCTTGTTATTCCCTTCAAAATGAAAAACTTTGTACATAAGTCATTTGTCAACATGTGACATTTCAGTTGGGTTTTGATATATTCTTGTTTATAAGGACTCTAAATATGCAGTACTTCCTGTTATTTTGTGCACATAGTGATGACTAGAAACCAACACCCTAAGTATCTTGATTGAACAATAAAGGATTTTCTATCAAAACCAAAACCATGCTGATGGCCTTTATGTGAATATATCCTTGCCCACTTCAGTTTAAGTAAGGGATGGTTTATTTTGTTGTGAACACATATTTAATGTTGAGAAGGAATGACAGTGTGAATCAGAGAAGCCACAGGGTCTTCGTATTCACAAGTGCAGAAGCATGCTTGCCATGTTTACTTGGCAAAATACGGGCTGGATATCTTTCTGAAATTATGGTGTTGAATGAGTAAACTCATATTTTAGCATTAAGTTAGGAAAAATGGAAATGTTTGGGGGGCTGTAAACATGCAAAATAAAAGAGGAAGCCTTTGTGAATTCCTCCAAGGCTATTTTAAAAGTCTTAAAAGGCCCAGGTCATGTCTTGTGAAACATCTAGTTTTCCAGTTAGGAGGTTTTGCTGATTGGGAGAAAAATCAGTTTTCAATGGAAGTATGCTTTTGTTGTTAAGGAGTAATTTTATTTAGAATACATTGGAATCTTCATTGCTAAGTAAAGAATGAAAGGAAGGGGAAAGCAAACTTTATTTTTTTTCTTAAAAGACACAAATCTTGGATTTGGAAGGGCATTTATGAGTATATGAGTGACTTTCCTGGCTTCAAGATTATTGTGAAAGTGTGAAATTTTAGGCAGAATATTTGCATTCTTATTAGCTGGTTGATCTTGGACACTTAATAGAAACAACATACTAAATATTTAACTACATGCCAGCTACTGTGCAAAGTATTTTATATTTATTTTATGTCATTTAATCTTCACAACAGTTCTAAGAGGTAGGTGGTATTTGTCCTTATTTTATGGAAAGGAAATCTGAGACTTAGAGAAGTTGCATAACTTGCCCCAGGTCACAGCAAATATATGGGGGAGCTAGGATTCAAATCCACTTCTGTCCAACTTCAAAATCCATTATCTTAACCACTAAGCTAAGTTGCCTGCCATTTATTTAAACCTTGCTTGTATACCTATAAAATGGAGATGACGTAGTACTTGCAAAATGAGGTACTATGTGGACATATATGGACAGTGCTTTATAAATTCTAAGATAGGCAAAGTATTATGAAATAGATAAAATATGAAGTTAACAGAGTAGGTTTTGTTGCCTTTTCATATTGATTTTAAATCATTCCTTATTGCTGTTTTGACCCAAAGCCCTCAGGTACTATATTTTTATTTCATTTTTATTTTGCTCCACCAGCAGTGGGACTGGGATTGGGTGAAATGGTGGTCTCTTGGGATGAGCTGTATGATCAGTCAGTGTTTCTGATCTCACCACTTTCATTTCATATGTGCTCTGAGTGGATTCCTCCTGCACTAAGAGGTTAAAACAATCGGTATTCTTGGCTAAAATAACTGACAGTGAATTGGAAATAAAATGTGGGTGTCTGTTCTGATAGTACAGCCTTACAGAGCTGTCTCTAGAAGAGGACGGTGCCAAGCAACCAATTTAGCTTTTACTTCCTATACAAAGTTTTGTGTTGTTTTCCTTCTGCTTCAGGTTGAAGATGGAATCCACTGAGGAAGGAAGGCCTAGGTCTTCAGCACCGTGTGTGCCAGCCCAGAAGCAGCAGTGTGAAAGCCTCTGTAACATCTGCTGCAGACCCCTAAAAATCAAGGGGGATTGGATTTGGACATCCTCAGTAGGAATGGTTGAACGCTGATGGGATCATAAATGTAAGTACTTGAACTTTGACCAAGATATGATGCCTTAAAGTGTTCTCTGTTTCACATGTGTATGTGCCTTTTCTATCTAAAAAAGATAGGTTCGTCCAGTTACAATTGTATCCCATAGTGTGAGATACACAGTAGGCACTGAGTAAGTTGGAATGGAACTGAGTAAAATTGAGTGATAACATAACCTTAAAATAGAAGCATCAGCTGATTCAGTATTAGCAATTTGTGGTTTGTTATCAGGCCTCATGAAGCATCTGTTCACAGGTAAAATGTACCTTTTGCCTGTGAGCACCAGTCCTTTGAAGAACTTATTGCCACAGGAAACAAAATGAGCAGGTCATTGATTGTTAATGGGGTATTTACAGAATGTTTACTTTAGCTCCCTAAACAACTCAGTAAATATACAATGGCCTTCAGGTGGTAGAATAACACTTGCTGAAGCGTGACTAGAATCCTGCAGGGAGCATCACACTTTGGGAAAGGCATCGTATATCATCAGGATTTATGTGCTAGGCTTTGTGCTACATGCCAAGGACACAAAGACCAGGCCCTTTGCAATCTGGGTTTTGTTTGTGAGATGAGACAAATAGAGAAGTTACACTTTTAAATCTATAATTATTTTTGTGTAAGAAGTACTTGGACACGGACTTTTGAGGTTAGACAATGTTGAAACTCCCACAATAAGAAATGGTGAAATCTCGCAATAAGTCTTGCTTCCTATGTTCCCTTAGTTAATTTCTCATGCTGCTGATCTCCAATACATTTTGAATAATTAAAGCACCATTCAAGTATAGGACAAGAAGGAGTAAAATAACACTTTGATTATATCTCTGAGTTACTTAAAACACCTCATTTTCTTTCTGACCTATTGAGCCAGTATGCCATTCTTAATACGTTCTAAAGCAAACCATCTTTTGTAGCTCTGCTTCTTATTTCACGTAGGAAGTGGCATTGTGAAGTGAAAATATGGAGTTATGACAGAATTGGGTTTAAATCCTAGCTTTTAATAGCTAGATGGACTTTTGAAATTTATTTAACTTCTCTGAGCCTCAAATTTCCTTGTAAATATGAGAAAAACTTTTGTTGTAAAGTTTGAAATGGTTTCAGTAGTTCTTGACAGATTGTAGGAATATTTAAGAACGATAGCTACTACTTCCTTTCTGTCAGCTTATTTTAGTCTTACCCACCCTTTAAGGCACTGCTGTCCAACACAACTTTCTGTGATGATGGAAATATTCTATATGTGTACTATCCAGTTTGGTAGCGATCAGCCACGTGAGGCTATTGAGCAATCGAAATGGGACTGAAGAATTTAATTTTTAGTTTAATTTAAATTTAGGCTGTACGTGGTGTTAACCTATTGGACAGTGCAATTTTTCTTTTATTGAGATATAATTGATGTATTACATTATATTAGTTTCAGGTGTTCAACATAATAATTCAGTATGTGTATATACTATAAAATGATTACCACAGTAATTCTAGTTAAGATCCATCACCACACCTAGTTACAAATTTTTTCTTCTTGTGTTGAGAACTTTTGAGATTGCTCTCTTAGCAACTCTCATATATATATAATGAATATTATTCTAAGTGCAATTTTGAGGCTCATTCAAGACCTACCTTTTTTTTTCATGAAGGCTTCCTTGACCAATGATTCTTCTTAACATTACTTGGTTCTCTCTCCCACTTATTTTGTACTTACCATACACATTAATTTTCATGAGTGTTGTCTTTCTAGCTAGATTGTATTTGAGATTGTGGAGTTTTAAATTTCCCCATTGCTGCATGAAAAGGAACATGATAAAAATATAACTGTGTAACGTGTAGTTAATAATTTTAAATGATCATTAAATGTAATACAATTTTCTAATTAGTAATTAGGTGAAGAGTAGGGAATAGTATGAAGGTTGCTTACGGTGATGAGCTTTGTGTCTAGCCTGTTTCACTCATCATTTTAGGTGATGAGCTTTGTGTCCAGTCTGTTTCACCTAAAAGTTCAGGTTACACTCAAGCTCTGGGAGAACAAATTAAAGCCTCTTTCTTACAGTGCCATCTTGTGGCCGATTTGTGCTCCAAAGAATGCTAATTCAAATTTGCTATGTCAAGGGAAGGTTTTCTTTAGTTTATTCTGATAAAACTTTAACAGAAGTAGAGGTTAAATATAATTGACACTGGCTCAAATGAAATTGAAACATGCTTTGAAAAAAAAGCTGACTATTTTAGGTTGACTTCTCATTTATTTGACTCTTAGGAGTTCTTAGCTCCTTCCTTTTTTTTTTTCTTGAAAGGATTTTGTGAATTTAGTGACTGTGGTTATCCTGTGGTGGTTACAAGTGTTTTCTGCAATCACATACCCTGTGAACTTGGAGAGATTGGCAGTAACCCATGCCATTTATCCCATGGCTGCCAAGCTGTTTGCAGCCAGCACACGGCTCCTTCTGTTTTGCATACCTATTCTTTTGTTAGACTGTTGACTTTTATAACCTTTCGGAGGTTGGTTAGATTTATCGCACAGTTTTACCCAAACTTTTAAATTTATACAAATAGCGGAGCTTGTACAGAAGTCCTGCCCTAGTCTGATACTGAGTTTGGGCATTTGATGACATCCTCCAAGTAGATGGGTCAATTTATACTGCTGAATGGAGATTCAAATAAAGAATGAACAGTTTTCTTTGAGGTTAATTTTCCTTGAGGCTATATGGGTGTGACTTGGTGTGGAGTAGGCTGGTGTGCATTCAAGTTTTATAGTCAGAGCATTTGCATATTTTTTTAAAGATTTATTTATTTATTTATTTTTGGCTGTGTTGGGTCTTTGTTGCTGTGCACGGGCTTTCTCTAGTTGCGGCGAGTGGGGGCTACTCTTCGTTGAGGTGCACAGGCTTCTCATTGCAGTGGCTTCTCTTGTTGCAGAGCACGGGCTCTAGGCACGCAGGCTTCAGTAGTTGCGGCATGTGGGCTCAGTAGTTGTGGCTCGTCGGCTCTAGAGGGCAGGCTCAGTAGTTGTGGCGCACAGGCTTAGTTGCTCCGTGGCATGTGGGATCTTCCTGGACCAGGGCTCAAACCTGTGTCCCCTGCATTGGCAGGCAGATTCTTAACCACTGTGCCACTTTCTTAACCAGGGAAGCCCCTGCATATTTTAAAATTTATTAATTTTTTATTTTCCAGAGATGATGCCAGATAGTTGATAAATCCTGTAGCTCACCTTGATTCCTAGATACAAGCTGGATTCATTTGATACCACAGGTAAGTATAAAAGAAAACCTTCATTTTTACTTCATTTGAATTTCCAATCACCTAGCAATTTTGGGGGCTCAATTTTCTTTTTTTTTTTTAATATTTATTTATTTATTTTTTGGGCTGCATTGGGTCTTAGTTGTGGCACGTAGGATCTTTCACTGTGGTGCGTGACTTATCTCTAGTTGTGGTGCACGGGTTCCAGAGTACGTGGGTTCTGTAGTTGCTGCACATGGGCTTAGTTGCCCTGTGGCATGTGGAATCTTAGTTCCCCCACCCGGGATTGAACCTGCATCCCCTGCATTGGAAGGCAGATTCTTAACCACTGGACCACCAGGGAAGTCCCCAGGGGCTCAATTTTCTTAGTGGCTGAAATTTAGTGGTAGTCGAAGGGGCCTTAGTTCTAACCTTAACAGAGTTTCCCTGGTTTAGGGATGAGGAGCTGGTGGTGGTTTGTCCTTTACCAGTCAGTCATTTGCAGTTTGCCATGATGAAACGCATGTTAAGTTCATGTTTCAGCTGATCGCCCTGATTAAACACATGCTCTGAGCAGACTAAAGCTAGGGTAAGCACCTGGAATTGAATTCTGTGTCTTGAAATTTTTATTGAAATCTAGCCTGTGATGTTAGGTAATTCTTAAATCTTCGAATTATGAATTTGCTACTACAACATTTTGTTGTGCTTTGATCTTTTGTGATATCTCTTTGAGATAGACAGAACTTGGGTCTAGAATCCTTAATCTAATAATTCAAACAGTACAGAAAAAACACTGATAACTGGTATAATTCTATTAACTACTTAACTTGACAGTATTAAACTAATCACTATTTTGTTGGTCTATATATAAGATTAAGAGAACCCCAGAGTTGGTTAAGTCAATTTTAAAATCAAGATAATAAAATGCAATACTATATAATCACTAAAAGTTATGATACTGGTTTTGTCTTTCTTGAAATGGAAGAGTATTCATGATACATTAATTTAAAAATAAGTTACAGAGCAATATGTATAACCCTTTTCCTGCTTAAACATTTTTATATGCTTATGTTTACTTGAGAAGTCATTTGAAAGGATATACTCAAATACTAGGGATTATTGTCTTTAGAATTGGGTTGTATGGGTGACCTTGTTAACCAGTATTTTCTGACTTTATGATATTCATGTGTAATTTAAAGTTATTTAAAGCAACCCAGATGGGACAGGCTCATATTCTTGTACCTGCAAGTTTCAGCACAGAATGGGGTTACATATGAGGGTGAAATATAGGAAATACGAATAATTCAAAGTAACATCACTTGAAATAATTTTTTAGCTTTTGGCTGTGTCTTTTGCAGAAATGAAACTTCAGGAGACTAGGTTGGAGTCTCACTTCTTTCCCAGCCTGGAACTCTTGGGAGCTGTAAGTCCTGGATATACAATAGATAATAATAGCATTTTTGTTTTATGGTAAGGCTTATGTTGAAATTGAGAAATTTGACATACATATGAATCTGTGAGAACTCAGCTTAGTGACTTCATGGCTAGCTGCTAAGATGCTACAAATTTCATTTTTTAAAAAGTCAACTAAAGATGTTGAGAGGTAGCTTAGCATAGTAGTTATACATGGCTTCTGGAGTCAGACTGTGTTCAAACCCATTCTGTATCACTTAAGCAGCTATGTAACCTTGGCAAGTTTCTTAACATCTCAGAGTCTTAGGGTCTTTATATCTTAGAAGGTGATAATTATAGTACCTGACTCAAAGGAATAATACTTAACTTGGAAGATTAAATTAGATAATAAATGTGTGGGGCTTAGAACATTGTTAACATGTGGTAAATGCTCAATAGATGTTAGCTATTTTATCATCAGAGTCCATGTTTATATTTATCTTAGACTGTACTACCTGGCAATTTCTGACATCTGCCTAAGAGGTTATCAGAAATCTTTGTTTTTATGGCTTATGGCATCTTTCTGCCAGCTGGTCTATCCCTCATCATCTTTACCCCTAGCACACAAAGCCTAATTTAGTTCCAGAATTAGGCAAACTATGGTAATAAGGTCTATAGTGTATATCCCTATATAACTGTTCCAATAACATTTTCTTAATTAATCTTGTTTTTGGCACTAATTTATTTATCATCTAATTCCTCTTTTTGTCTATCTAGCTGGTCCAGTTGATACTTAATGGTTCTAGTTCTTGACTGACCTTTTAAAAAGTTAGATGTAGTGATTATAGTGATGTTTCTTACAACATTTATTAAAATGTTTATTAAAATGATTAGAGATAATATTTGACGGCTGTTCCTCTCACTGCTTGGAGCCTTAAGTAGTGGGATTTTAGTCTGTCATATATCTAAGCTGACTTGTCTTCACTCAGGGCACCATGAGGATGGGTTGGCTGTCCGTTAGTGCCATCTGATTTTTGCGGAGTCAAACAATTGCAAAGCAGGTGGTGATTCTAGGTTAAGAAAATATACCTGTGATTTTAAAAACCCCCACTAATTTTAAAACATGAGGATCTAATGTACAGAGAACCTTTTGATTGCAATTGCTTTTGAATAGCACTGATCTAGGGCTATGAAAGAAAGAGCTCTAGTCAGTTGATTCTGGGACTTACTGTAACATTATACTCTGCAGTCATTCATGTATAAATTTTAAATGGTTTACTCAGTTTTCTATTGAGTAGTTATTCACACATTTCAGGGAAGTATTAAAAATATCTTCTTCTTTGCAGCATGAAGGTAGATGATTCTTCAAATTAAAGACGGACACTGACTTTTCTCACCAGAAATGGTTTATAGAATCAACTTTCAAAAATGTAAGAGGCAGCAAAAAAACAGAGTAAAATATTTTCTTCTATTATTCTTTGATTGTTTGCTAGATTGTAAACTCCATGAAAGCAGGATAACTTGCTTATCTGTAATGCCTGGCCCAGAATAGATACTCAAAAAATATTTGAAGTTAATTAAAATCTCCATAGAATTTTGTTTTTTTTAATCCCTGGAAAATAACAACCATTTTAATGGCATTTCAGCAAGACATTTACATGGAATAACTGGGACTTAAATTTTGACTCTGCTGTATAAACTATCTGGATACCAATGAGTCTACTTAATATCTGATTATGATGCTTGATCCTTTAAGAGGCAATGAAGAATGGCTGCCAAAACAAACTGTGTATGTGAGGAATAGATATATAAAAGCTTACTAATATTTAGTAGGAAATCTTTTATTATGTACATTTCATTGGAAATTTTTCATTGATTTAAATTGCACATACCACTCAGGTATGATTAAAAAGTCTTTGTTTGTTTATTTGTTTGTTTGTTTTTGGCGGTACCGGGCCTCTCACTGTTGTGGCTTCTCCCGTTGCGGAGCACAGGCACCAGATGCGCCGGCTCAGTGGCCATGGTCCACAGGCCCAGCCACTCCACGGCATGTGGGATCCTCTCGGACCGGGGCACGAACCCGTGTCCGCCGCATTGGCAGGTGGACTCCCAACCGCTGTGCCACCAGGGAAGCCCTGTTTGGTTTTTTTTTGCTTTATATTTAATGTTGAAATATTCTCAATTGTTTTGGCTAAATTATACTTTACAGATTTTTTTGCTCTGTATTCCTTATTTACATCCATAAGGGTATATTTAACATGCAAGGGATACAAAATATACATCCAAATATTGGAAGTTTGGTATACTTCACTGTGTTTTGGAATGAAATTTAATACTTGTGCTTATGCCAGAATCACACAAATGGTATGCAACTATAATAACTTCTGTTAGAATATGAAACCTATTCTTTAGATTCTTCTATTAAAACAAATATAAGTATCAAATTAGTTTTAGAGTAGATGATGCTGACAGATTCAAAGATAATAAGGGGGGAAGAATATTATCTCTGAAGCTCTTAGAGAAACATGGTGCATAAATAATATAGCCAATATGTACTTAAAATATCTGAATAAGATCAAAATCAAACTTCATGGTAAAAATACCATTTTGAAAGGTAAAGTAACCTGCAGTTAAATGGTATAAGTGATATGTAAGCACAAATTGTGCTTTCAGAGTTTATCCAGGCTTCTTAGGAAGAATGGATTAAAGATCTATAAATGAAAAGCAAAACTTTAAACCTGTAGAAAAGCAAAGACTATGACACTGGAGTACACATAAAGCACAAAAAGGAAAGATCGATAAATTTGTATACACTAAAATTCAAACTTATATTTGCACATCATGTAACTGACAAAGTCTCCATTTAAATCAAGAAAATGATCAAAGGATATGAATGGACAATTCATAGATGAGGATGCTGAGTAGTAATGCACATGAAAAGATGCTTTACCTAACTAGTAATAAAAGATTTCCACATTAAAACAACACTGAGATACCATTTCACTGCCATCAGATGGGCAAAAATGAAAACAAAACAACTTTGACACTTAAACATGTTGCCGAGGCTGGAGTAGTGGGCTCTCATCTTTGCTGGTGGCAGTGAAATTTATGTTATTACTTTAGAGAATGGTTTGGCAACATCTAGTTTATTGGAAGATGCTTATACCTGCTCTTTGAGTATTATATTCTATAAGAATTCTTGACATGTGTATTCAAGGAGGCATGTACAGAAAGTTCATTGCAGTCGTATTTTTAATTGGAAAAGCCTGGAACTAATATCCATTAGAAGAATGAATGAATAAATTGTGGTTTGTAGCATTTGGCTGTTAAAATGAATTAATACAAGGTATGTGTATTACCTTTACATCTCAAAAACAATGAATTAAAATTATGGCCAACTGATATTTGTTGTGTGAGAAGATTTAGTAGTTTTAGAACATGCAAGACATTCACAGAAAGATAGACAAGATGAAAAGGCACAGAGCTATGTACCAGATGAAGGAACAAGATAAAACCCCAGGAAAACAACTAAATGAAGTGGAGATAGGCAACCTTCCAGAAAAAGAATTCAGAATAATGATAGCGAAGATGATCCAGGACTTCGGAAACAGAATGGAGGCAAAGATCGAGAAGATGCAAGAAATGTGTAACAAAGATCTAGAAGAATTAAAGAACAAACAAACAGAGATGAACAACACAATGACTGAAATGAAAAATACACTAGAAGGAATCAGTAGCAGAATAACTGAGGCAGAAGAGCGGATAAGTGACTTGGAAGACAGAATGGTGGAATTCACTGCTGCAGAACAGAATAAAGAAAAAAGCATGAAAAGAAATGAAGACAGCCTAAGAGACCTCTGGGACAACATTAAATGCAAAAACATTTGCATTATAGGGGTCCCAGAAGGAGAAGAGAGAGAGAAAGGACCCGAGAAAATATTTGAAGAGATTATAGCCAAAAATTTCCCTAACATGGGAAAGGAAATAGCCACCCAAGTCCAGGAAGCACAGAGAGTCCCATACAGGATAAACCCAAGGAGACACACACCGAGACACATAGTAATCAAATTGGCAAAAATTAAAGACAAAGAAAAATTATTGAAAGCAGCAAGGGAAAAATGACAAGTAACATACAAGAGAACTCCCATAAAGTTAACAGCTGATTTCTCAGCAGAAACTCTACAAGCCAGAAGGGAGGGGCATGATATACTTAAAGTGATGAAAGGGAAGAACCTACAACCAAGCTTACTCTACCCAGCAGGGATCTCATTCAGATTTGATGGAGAAATCAAAAGCTTTACAGACAAGCAAAAGCTAAGAGAATTCAGCACCACCAAACCAGCTCTTCAACAAATGCTAAAGGAATTTCTCTAAGTGGGAAACACAAGAGAAGAAAAGGACCTACAAAAACAAACCCAAAACAATTAAGAAAATGGTCATAGGAACACACATATCAATAATTACCTTAAAAAGGAATGGATTAAATGCTCCAACCAAAAGACATAGGCTTGCTGAATGGATACAAAAACAAGACCCATATATATGCTGTCTACAAGAGACCCACATCAGACCTAGGGACACATAAAGACTGAAACCGAGGGGATGGAAAAAGATATTCCATGCAAATGGAAATCAAAAGAAAGCAGGAGTAGCAATACTCATATCAGATAAAATAGACTTTAAAATAAAGAATGTTACAAGAGACAAGGAAGAACATTACATAATGATCAAAGGATCAATCCAAGAAGAAGATATAACAATTATAAATATATATGCACCCAACATAGGAGCACCTCGATACATAAGGCAACTGCTAACAGCTATAAAAGAGGAAATCGACAGTAACACAATAATAGTGGGGGACTTTAACACCTCACTTACACCAATGGACAGATCAACCAGACAAAATTAATAAGGAAACACAAACTTTAAATGACACAATAGACAAGATAGATTTAATAGAAATTTATAGGACATTCCATCCAAAAACAGCAGATTACACTTTCTTCTCAAGTGCGCATGGAACATTCTCCATGATAGATCACATCTTGGGTCACAAATCAAGCCTTAGTGAATTTAAGAAAATTGAAAGCATATCACGCATCATTTCTGGCCACAACGCTATGAGATTAGAAATCAATTACAAGGAAAAAAACATAAAAAACATGAACACATGGAGACTAAGCAATACGTTACTAAATAACCAAGAGATCACTGAAGAAATCAAAGAGGAAATCAAAATATACCTAGAGACAAATGACAACAAAAACATGACAATCCAAAACCTATGGGATGTGGCAAAAGCAGTTCTAAGAGGGAAGTTTATAGCTATACAAGCCTACCTCAAGGAACAAGAAAAATCTCAAACAAACAATCTAACCTTACACCTAAAGGAACTAGAGAAAGAAGAACAAACAAAACCCAAAGTTAGCAGAAGGAAAGAAATCATAAAGATCAGAGCAGAACTAAATGAAATAGAAACAAAGAAAACAATAGCAAGGATCAATAAAACTAAAAGCTTGTTCTTTGAGAAGATAAACAAAATTGATAAACCATTAGCTAGACTCATCAAGAAAAAGAGGCAGAGGACTCAAATCAATAAAATTAGAAATGAAAAAGGTGAAGTTACAATGGACACTGCAGAAATACAAAGTATCCTAAGAGACAACTACAAGCAACTCTATGCCAATAAAATGGACAACTTGGAAGAAATGGACAAATTCTTAGAAAGGTATAACCTTCCAAGACTGAACCAGGAAGAAACAGAAAATATGAACAGACCAATCACAAGTAATGAAATTGCAACTGTGATTTAAAATCTCTCAACAAACAGAAGTCCAGGACGAGATGGCTTCACAGGTGAATTCTGTCAAACACTTAGAGAAGAGCTAACACCCATCCTTCTCAAACTCTTCCAAAAAACTGCAGAGGAAGGAACACTCCCAAACTCATTCTATGAGACCACCATCACCCTGATACCAAAACCAGACAATGATACTCCAAAAAAGAAAATTACAGACCAATATCACTGATGAATATAGATGCAAAAATTCTCAACAAAATATTAGCAAATAGAATCCAACAACACATTAAAAGGATCATACACCATGATCAAGTGGGATTTATCCCAGGGATGCAAGGATTCTTCAATATACGCAAATCAATCAATGTGATACACCATATTAACAATTTGAAGAATAAAAACGATATGGTCATCTCAATAGATGCAGAAAAAGCTTTTGACAAAATTCAACACCCATTTATGGTAAAAACTCTCCAGAAAGTGGACATAGAGGGAACTTACCTCAACATAATAAAGGCCATGTACGGCAAACCCACAGCAAACATCATTCTCAATGGTGAAAACCTGAAAGCATTTCCTCTAAGATCAGGAACAAGACAAGGATGTCCACTCTCGCCACTATTATTCAACATAGTTTTGGAAGTCCTAGCCACGGCAATCAGAGAAGAAAAAGAAATAAAAGGAATACAAATTGGGAAAAAAGAAGTAAAACTGTCACTGTTTGCAGATGACATGCTACGATACATACAGAATCCTAAAGATGCCACCAGAAAACTACTAGAGCTAGTTAATGAATTTGGTAAAGTTTCAGGTTACAAAATTAATGCACAGAAATCTCTTGCATTCCTATACACTAATGATGAAAAATCTGAAAGAGAAATTAAGGAAACACTCCCATTTACCACTGCAGCAAAAAGAATAAAATACCTAGGAATAAACCTACCTAGGGAGACAGAAGACCTGTATGCAGAAAACTATAAGACACTGATGAAAGAAATTAAGGATGATACCAACAGATGGAGAGATATACCATGTTCTTGGATTGGAAGAATCAATATTGTGAAAATGACTATAGTACTCAAAGCAATCTACAGATTCAATGCAATCCCTATCAAATTAACAATGGCATTTTTTATGGAACTAGAACAAAAAATCTTAAAATTTGTATGGAGACACAAAAGACCCCGAATAGCCAAAGCAGGGAAAAAACAGAGCTGGAGAAATCAGACTCTCTGACTTCAGAATATACTGCAAAGCTACAGTAATCAAGAGAATATGTTACTGGCACAAAAACAGAATTATAGATCAATGGAACAAGACAGAAAACCCAGAGATAAACCCATGCACCTATGGTCAACTAATATGAAAAGGAGGCAAGGATATATAATGGAGAAAAGACAGTCTCTTCAATAAGTGGTGCTGGGAAACCTGGACAGCTACATGTAAAGAATGAAATTAGAACACTCCCTAACACCATACACAAAAATAAACTCAAAATGGATTAGAGACCTAAATGTAAGACCAGGCACTGTAAAACTCTTAGAGGAAAGCCTAGGAAGAACACTCTGACATAAATCACAGCAAGATCTTTTTTGATCCACCTCCTAGAGTAATGGAAATAAAAACAAAAATAAACAAATGGGACGTAATGAAACTTCAAAGCTTTTGCACAGCAAAGGAAACTATAAACAAGACGAAAAGACAACCCTCAAAATGGGAGAAAATATTTGCAAACGAATCAACAAAGGATTAATCTCCAAACTGTATAAACAGCTCATGCAGCTCAATATTAAAAAAAACAAACAACCCAGTGCAAAAATGGGCAGAAGAACTAAATAGACATTTCTCCAAAGAAGACATACAGATGGCCGAGAAGCACATGAAAAGCTGCTCAACATCACTAATTATCAGAGAAACGCAAATCAAAACTACAGTGAGGTATCACCTGATACCAGTTAGAATGGGCATCATCAGAAAATCTACAAACAACAAATGCTGGAGAGGGTGTGGAGGAAAGCGAACCCTCCTGCACTGTTGGTGGGAATGTAAATTGATACAGCCACTATGGAGAACAGTATGGAGGTTCCTTAAAAAACTAAAAATAGAATTACCATATGACCCAGCAATCCCACTACTGGGCATATACCCAGAGAAAACCATAATTCAAAAAGACATATGCACCCCAATGTTCATTGCAGCACTATTTACAATAGCCAGGTCATGGAAGCAGCCTAAAGCCTAAATGCCCATCGACAGATGAATGGATAAAGAAGTTGTGGTACATATATACAATGGAATATTACTCAGCCATAAAAAGGAACAAAATTGGGTCATTTGTAGAGACGTGGATGGATCTAGAGACTGTCATACAGAGTGAAGTAAGTCAGAAAGAGAAAAACAAATATCGTATATTAACGCATATTTGTGGAACCTAGAAAAATGGTACAGATGAACCGGTTTGACGGGCAGAAATAGAGACACAGATGCAGAGAACAAACGTATGGACACCAAAGGGAGAAAGTGGGGCGTGGGGGTGGGGGTGTGATGAACTGGGCAGTTGGGATTGACATGTATACACTGATGTGTATAAAATGGATGACTAATAAGAACCTGCTTTATAAAAAAATAAATAAAATAAAATTCAAATAAAAAGTAAAGAGGTGAAGAGGGAAGTGCCCATCATAAAGAGGGTGGGTCAGTCCCGAAAATACAGGAAAAGGAGTGTCACAAGCAAATGGCACCTGTGCCCAGTCTGGCACTCTTCAAGTGGGGGCACCTTGTCTGTTCGATTTTAAGTATCTTCAATCCACTGGCCATGTTATTCCTATGACTAGTGTTATGGCATCAGGGTATCATCAGTGCCTTTTGTCACTGAACAGTTTAATAATTCCCTACATGCCTCCCACAACATTTCACAGTTCTGTGCTTCTTATTTAAATGTGATAGGGAGACAATAGACTGGTCAGCTTGAAATAGTCTACACGGCAGTTACGGTGTTCACTGGAGATTCTGAGATGTAAGTTTACCCATGTGAGAAAGAGCCACTCTCCATGGGGCTCTGAATACACAAGCTGACAAAAATAAAAAAAGAATATGCACAACCAAGTTTGATGTACATACATATATTAAAAGTATAAAAGCATGCATGAGAATGATAAACAGCAAAATCTAGCTAGTTTACCTCTGAAGAGGTAAGAGGAAAGTGGATTGAGGTGTACACAGGGGAAGCTTCAACTGTATCTGTAATTTGTTACCTCATTAAAAATATCAAATGTGAGAAAGTTTTGGGTTTACTAAAGCTGAGTGGTGGTCATTCTCCATACATTTTTGATAAGCTTGATATTTAATAATAAAAACCAATATTTTAAAGAGCTCTTTTTGGTCGATGGGTCTCTGTATCCCAGCCTTGATTGATTTCAGTGGTCTCATCCCCAGGAGCACCTTAGAAATGAGCCATTGAAGGTTTTGTCTGTCATGAGAGAACAGGACATGTGTTTTGCTGAAAGCCTGCTTTCAGTTTTAAGGTTTGTTGGATTCGTTGGCAAAATAACCACTTGTTTCACATAAATAAACAGCTTTAATCAATTCTTTAATGAAAGGTGATTAAACTTAATTTTAATATACAGTCATTAGAAGGAAAGGAATAAGAATATTAGAGAAACGTAACAGGATATACATCACCGAATTGTGCCGACACCTACTTCCAGATCCAAACAGCAACTGGAAAGTCCCAAGTGACAGCAATCTGGAGCCCCAATTGGGAAGGGTCCTGGATGGTGCATCCACCCCACAGGTGAGACTTCAGATTGGAGTTCTGGGGGCTTCCATTTATAATTCCTGGCCTCAAACTGATATCATCAGTTTGTGTGCAAAAATGCAGTTCTGGATTCACCAATGCTGTTGGTTTCACCATGTGAGTCACAAGATGTTCCAGAACGTGGGGGACTGGCCAGGTCCCCAGGACTCCAGAAATTCCAAGACCCACTCCCTCTGTTATTGTAAGCACCACTTGACTTGCTAGCAGCAATTGTTAGGTGTGCAAGCAGGCGCGCAGTCCAGGCAGGGTCACAGGTCAAGCAGAGGCCTGCATCTGCCTCAAGCCTGAACAAGACTACTTTACTAGTTTTGCCAACAACATGCCACCAAGAAACAGGTCAATTCCTGGTGTTCCAGTCTACTGGGATATTAAGACTTTGTAGCCACCCCCCTTTTCTCCTATCTGGCAAAACAGGTTCTCTCCCCCAGTCCCAAAATGTGTGTGGGGTGTATGTGTGTGTGTGTGTGTGTGTGTGTGTGTGTTTTAATTCATACAGGCTTTTAGCTAAATGGGTTGGAAATTGGAAACTGAGTTAGAGAGAAAATGGTGTGGGTAACACTAAGGTTTGGGGAATCAGTATCACTGGGGAATCGATATTGATGAAGAAGCAGGAAGGGATCACTGCAGCACAAAGGTAACTTGGCTAGAATCATAAAGTTAGGTACTGGTAGAATTTGAATGCTTTGTGTTTATAGCTTGAAATGAGATTATACCCTTTTATTGTACTTTAAGTAATATTTCTACATTTGGCATAGTTAAAACCAGAAAATGCACAAAAGTGTCAGATAACCAGAACATGTTAAGGATTACATGGTTTACACATGAACCCCTAATTTTCTTCAAACCTATTTTGTACCACTAGAATTGAGCTTCTATTCTAAACTGTCAGAAGATGTTTTAGGAAAAGTATACAAAGGCCAAGATGACCCTGATTACTATGAACTAGTTGCAAATAGACAAAAAACGAGCAGAAAGTTGTTTAATCAGGATAGGTTTCTGTTTGAAGGAGAAAGGTTTAGTATACAGATTCACAACCCATAAAGGGGTTTGCAGGGCTTAGTGTCCATTGTGTTACTGATTTATTGGGTTGTTTCTGTTACTAATTCATACTGTTTTCACATAATCTGGAAAGGTGGTGACAAAAGACAGCATTAAGGCATGTATCCTGAGGACCCCTCAAGCTCTCGGCTTAATTTCTAATATGAGTTCTAATAGACTCATAGATTGAGCAGAAAGTCATACAGTATGCACAGAACAGAAAATGTGACAGGTAACAGCATTAGGATAAAGCCAGTACAGATATTTAAACAATTACAAGCAGGTCCAGGAAAGCACACAGGCAGATGACCTCAAAACAGCTGTGACACCCGATCCTATCGCTTCGTTCCCAGAGCTGCAATGAATGTTCATAATGCAGACTCTGAATCAAGAAAAGTTCTTTAATATTATACAGAGGATGTGGAAAAGCTGGAAAGATGTCTATTTCAAGATGGATTAAAAAAATGGCAGAATCTACCTCAACACAGAGGTGTTAGGTGTCAAATTATAGGTATCGCACAATTTGGGGGACTTTTCCCTTAAATACTTAGAAAGCCTTTGTTGCCCAGTCGGTACTCCCCAAATTTTCCCAGGACAAACACCTGTGGGTACTCAGAGGCTGTTAGCTTCTCAACTGTACGCACTCTGCTCTGACCTCAAATGTTAGGCCCATGACAGCTAGGATGTCACTCTTGTGCCAGTCGAGGGCTGAAAAGAGCACACGATGACAGTATCTGCGGGGCTCCCGAGTGGGAAACCTAGGCCAGGCCCAGTCAGATTCGCTCTCTGAGGGGCACGTACCCGGGGCGGGCGGGGGCGGGGGGGAACCGCCCACAGCGCGGGTGCCGCAGCCCGGCGGGTCCCAGGATCCTGAGCGGCGGGAACCCGGGCGCTCAGCCCCCTGCAGGCTCCCGGGCGACTCTGCGCATGCGCCCTCAGACGTAGTGGCGACGTCCGTGGCGAATCGTCGCTCGTCGTGGAGTTGAGGCGGCAACGGCGTTTTCCCGCGCTTTTCCTGGGCGCCTCCGGTTAGATATTTTATTGGTATTAGTGTTGTTAGTATTTTCTCTTTCGAGCGTGGAAAGCGGGCTGCGAATTTGAAGTTCCCGTGAGTCTAACCCTCAAAACTTTGTCCTCGCTAACTTGGACAGCTCACTAAATTGGCTCTTTCTCCCACCTTGTGGAAAATTTGGAATTAGCTGCGCTTCTCGCTCTGCCTGAGAAGGGGCTCAGGTTCCAAACTGTTTCCATCTCTTCTGCTACCCCTCGGCATATTGCCCTGCCGGAGGGAAAATAGGCCTCATAACTCCGGCCGCCTGGTGCCTATACCTGTGGAGACACCCTCAGCTGGGGCATTTGGGGTAAAGATGTCAGAGCATTCTTGTCCACCACTATGACCAAGGCAACATTCTTGACGGAATTTATCAGTTCATAAATGTGACCATTTTCCCTTGGTGTATAATTGGTGTGTTACTATTATTTTACACAATATATGACTAATTTTGGTATATTCAGAATACTGCTGCCTAGTTTGGATTAGTAAAACTCCAGTAACAGTGAACACTATATTGAAAAATAACTTGTGTATTTATATGTTTTTACAAATGTTTGAAATAGAAGCACAGCATTGAATAGTATTTATATTAATAGGTGAGTTGTTTAATTGGTGATAAAATCTGCTTTTATATAGATTTTCAGGCTTCATAATGTTAACTACTTGGATGAATTAGGTTAGTTTCCATTTAATACTATTAGATTACTACTCTTTTTTAGTCAAGGCAGCACAGGTAAAGAATCTGAGGAATCAGCATATATGAAAACCTAAAAACGTAACTTAAAGAATGCCTGAAATCAGTGCCTGGACTTTTATATCTTCCAAGTGTGAGAAGGGATATTAAAATATTCTAGCGAACTATGAATGGGTAATAAATTTGGATTTTTGTTTAGGTATTGAGGAATGGCAAAAAGCACTAATTTAATTTTTATTTGTTTGTACTTTGTAAATGTTCCTAAACCATTTTTTTCCATGAACATATATTTTTGACTTGTAAGTAAGATGTGGAAGCACCTATGTCTTTAACTTTTTCCTTAAAAAGTTTTTTCATGGCCTTGGTAGTGGTTTGCACAAAGAAGGAACCCAGTATTTTTGGGTGACTGAAATCAATATCATATATTTATTATAATAAATACAAAAGCCTAATAAAAGGTACATTATTTTGTCTTAATAGAATAAAAACGTTTTACTTATCTATTTATTTAATTTTACTGCAATTTGACTTTTTCATTTACCCCTTTTTTGGATTCTTTTCAGCATCTGGAAACCTTATTATCTATTATGTCTTTGTGTGAAGACATGCTGCTTTGTAACTATCGCAAGTGTCGCATCAAACTCTCTGGTTATGCATGGGTCACTGCCTGCTCTCATATATTCTGTGATCAGCATGGCAGTGGTGAGTTTAGTCGTTCACCAGCTATCTGCCCTGCCTGCAACAGTACTCTTTCTGGAAAGCTAGATATTGTCCGCACAGAACTCAGTCCATCAGAGGAATATAAAGCCATGGTATTGGCGGGACTTCGACCAGAGATTGTGTTGGACATTAGCTCCCGAGCACTGGCCTTCTGGACGTATCAGGTTAGTGCTTAGGCTAGATTCTCTGGAGGGTATGATTTGAGGCACATGTGAAAGCTTCTAATGTTTTTCCTTCACTGTGTTTGTATTTATTTTTTAATGAATGTATGGAAAACTTTATTTTTAATAAATTTTCTTTTTTTCTAAAGTAATATGTTTATTGTTGAAAATCCAAAAGGAAGAAAATAAAAAACCATCCATAATTCCATCACTCAGAGATAACCAGTGTTGATATATTTTTGTTTGTGTATTGCTAGACTTTTTCTTTTTTTGTGTGTTCTCTCTCTCTCTCTCTCTTTTTAAAATATTTATTTATTTACTTATTTGGCTACTCTGGGTCTTAGTTGCGGCACTCGGGATCTTCATTCCCGCATTCAGGATCTTCATTGCAGCATGCGGGATCTTTAGTTGTGGCATGCGGGCTCTTTAAGTTGTGGCATGTGGGATCTAATTCCCTGGGCCTGGGCCCCCTGCATTGGGAGTGTGGAGTCTTAACCGCTGGACCACCAGAGAAGTCCCTACTAGACTTTTTCTGCGTATAAATATATATATATATGTATATATATAGTCTATATATTTTGTATATAGGCAAAATAATATATTTTGTCTGTACAAAAATAGGGTAATACCACAGACACTGTTTCAGTGGCCAGGTAAATTGATAATATATTATGTCTGTTATGAGTATTTTATTAAATATTTAAAAATTAGCCATTCTATAATCATAATTTTAATGGTCATAATATATCATAATTTATTTCCATTATTTAAAAATGCTGTGATGGGCAGTTATCATTAAATTCATATCCTTAATATTTTGCTAAGTTTAAGTTCCTGAAAGTGGATTTAAACATGTCAAAGTTTTAAAAATTGTAGTATTTTTAAGTTGCCCTCCAGTTAGATCATGTCAATTTGTGTTCCCTTAAGAAGTGTAGGAGGGTGCTTGTTCTCCATACTTTCTACTCACCAATTAGATATGGGTAAAATAGAATCTTATTGCTCTCTGAATATTCATTTCTTGGATGACTTTTAGATGAACACATTTTCTTGTATTTTTAATGTATTTTTCTTTTATTAATTGCCTGTTTCAGTTTGTTTTTTTAGTTGCTGTAGTTTTTTCCCTACTGATTTGAAAGAATTCTTTCTATACATATACTTAACTCAGATGTTGCTAGAAAATTTTTTTCCACTTATCTTTTATTACTCTTCATTGATTTTTTTGACATACAGAAGTTTAAAATTTTGTGTATTTGATGTAGTTATAATTTTAATGATTGGATTGTATCATAATTTGTTCGTAAGTTATTTTAAAAAATGCTGTGATGAGCATTTTTATCTTCAAGTTCACATACTTATTTCTTTCCCTTTTTGATTTCTGCCTTTGGCTCCTTCTTAGAAAGGCCTTCCTGTGGAGAACTTTTATCATGTCCTTGAGTATATTGTTATATCTTGTATATGCATTTATAATAATGCTTCTTAAAGGTTCTATTTGTCATCTGTCAAGTAACTATTATCATTATATTTTTCTAGGTAAGGTGTTCCTCTTACATGATCCTGTATCTTCTTATGCTTACCTTTGTTGTATTATTTATCCTGTATTGTAATTATTTATATATTTGTTCATCTTCTCTAGTTAGGAGAGCTCTTTAGGTCAAGTTTTGATTCCTGTATTTCTCTGGGTCCTCAGTGACCATCATTACTGGTCTTAAGTCTCAGTAAATACTTATTGACTGAATGAATAGACATTCTGTCTTAAAGTAGATTCCAATTTGGGGGGGTAGTATTGATTGAACATGAACATGTGGTATTGTTCTCATCTTTTCAGATGTGGTGGAAACCAGTGAATGAACTAGTAGCCAGAAATGATTTTTCTCTACTTCATTTATTCACTTTTTTTCCTATTAGTCATTCTCTCCCTCTCTCTCTCTCTCTCTCTCTCTCTCTCTCTCTCTATATATATATATATATATATATATATATATATATATTCAACATATAGTTTTTTGAATGCCAGGAATGCCAGGAAACACTTATATCTCATGCACCATCTTAGGTGCTGGGTATACAGTAATGAACAATACATAAGGAGCTTCAAGGAGGCTACAGTTTAGTGGTGATAAAGATAAAGAAAAAACCCAAACATTTACAATACGTTTTTCATGCCGATAATGATAAGGGAAGTAGAAAGTGCTATGGGACCACATTATAGGGACAGGTAACCCAGACTTGGTAGAGTTACATCAAACTATATAGGATGGGCAAATTAAAAAATGGTTAAAAAAAAGAGTGGCCATATTTCACTTTCTGTCAATATTTAAAGGACAGTGAATCCAAAGATAAGCCAAAATTGGTTTCTGTGTGTAGTAGTTGTCTATTGATGTATAACAAGTTTAGTGGCTTAAACAGCAAATTTAGTGGCCTAAAAACAACACATGTTTATTATCTCAGTTTCTGTGGATCAAGAGTCTACACATGGATTCTGCTCAGGGTCTCACAAGGCTGCAGTCAAGGTGTTGACAAGGGCTGCAGTTTCATCTGCATCTTGACTGGAGAAGGATCTGCTTCGAAGCTCATGTGGTTGTCGGCAGCATTCACTTTCTAATGAACTATCAGACTGAGGGCCTGTTTTTATTCTCTTTAATGGACTTTATTTTTAAAGCAGTTTTAGGTTCACAGCAAATTTGAGAGGAAGGTGCAGAGTTTTCCTATATGCCCTGTCCCCACACATGCACAGCCTCCCCATTATCAACATCCCCCACCAGAGTGGTACATTTGTTACAAATGATGAACTTACATTGACGCATCACTATCACCCACCAAAGTCCATTGTTTATATTAGGATTCTCTCTTTGGGTTGTACATTCCATGAGTTTGGACAAATATATAATGATGTGTATGCACTATGACAGTGTCATATAGAGTAGTTTCACTGCCCTAAAATTCCTCTGTGCACCACCTACTCATCTCTCCTTACCACCAGCTCCTGGCAACCACTGATAGTTTTACTGTCTCCACAGTTTTGCCTTTTCCAGACTGTCATATAATTGGAATAATACAGTTTGTAGCCTTTTCATATTGACTTCTTTCACTTACTAATATGAATTTGTTTCCTCCATGTTTTTTCATGGCTTGATAGTGTTCACTTCTTTTTAGTGTTGAATTGAATTCCATTGTTAGATTTATCCATTCACCTGCTAAAGGACATCTTGATTGCTTCCATCTTTTTGTAATTATGAATAAAACTGCTACACATATCTGTATGCAGAACATATATTTTCAGCTCCTTTGGGTAAATACTAAAGAGCACAATTGCTGGATTGTATGGCAAGAGTATGTTTACTTTTGTAAGAAACTGCCGGACTATCTTCCTAAGTGGTGATAACATTTTGCATCCTACCAGCAATGAAAGAGTTCCTTTTGCTCTACATCTTGACAGTATTTGGGGTTGTTAGTGTTCTGAATTTGTGTCATTCTAATAGGTATGTAGTTGTATCTCATTGTTTTAATTTACATTTCCCTGATTACATATGATGTGGAGCATCTTTTCATACACTTTTTTGTCATCGGTATATATTCTTCGGTGAAGTGTCTATTAAGGTCTTTGGCCCATTTTTTAAAATTGGGTTGTTTTCTTATTGTTGAGTTTTAAGAGTTCTTAATCAGATGTGCCTTTTGAAAATATTTTGGACATATCTTACCAGATGTGTCTTTTGTAAATATTTTCTCTTAGTCTGTGGCTTGTCTTCTTATTCTCTTGACATTGTCTTTTGCAGAACAGAAATTTTTAATTTTAATGAAGTCTAGCTTGTCAGTTATTTCTTTTATAGATTGTGCCTTTGGTATTTTATCTAAAAAGTCACCACCAAACCCGAGGTCATTTAGATTTTCTCCTATGTTAACTTATAGGAATTTTATAGTTTTGGTGTTTTACATTTAGATATGTAATCAGTTTCGAGTTAATTTTTGTGAAGGTTGTAAAGTCTATACTTAAAGTCACTGTGACCTCAGCATTTTGCTGGCTATTGCCCAGAGGCTGCTCTTAGTTACTTGCCTGTTGGCCTTTCCAATTTGGCCTCTTGCTTCCACAAATCCAGCAAGAGAGAGAGTGTGCTAGTAAGACAAACCTTATATTCTTATGTAATGTACTGATGAAGCCATATCCTGTCATTTTTCCTGTATTCTAATCACAGGTCCTGTCCACACTCAAGGGGAGGATATAAGTACTAGGAGGCAGGGATAATTGGGGGCGGGCTATCTTATATAATCTGTTATCCACACTATGGATTACTTGAAATATAGTATTATATATTAGAAACCTTTGGGCTACATGTCACTTGTTAAGGTTAAACAAATACCTTTCGGTAGTCTGTAGTGGTTTGAGAATATTCCTCCAGATTTTTTTTTCTATGCATTTAGTGACATGGCGTATTCTTTTCTATAATAACCATCCTATTGTACATCCTAATTGCTTCTTAACCTGGTTCTAAACTTTAAAGTAATAACATCTCAGTATGTGTGTCTTTCTTTTCTTTCTGTGTTTGTATCAATATAAAGTTAAAATATACAACTTTGCATTTATTACCTTAAATCTTTCCTTTCTGTCTTGGGACAGGTACACCAGGAGCGTCTCTATCAAGAATACAATTTCAGCAAGGCTGAGGGCCATCTGAAACAGTTGGAGAAGATATATACTCAGCAAATACAGAGCAAGGATTTAGAATTGACCTCTATGAAAGGGGAGGTCACCTCCATGAAGAAAGTGCTAGAAGAATACAAGAAAAAGTTCAGTGACATCTCTGAGAAACTTATGGAGAGAAATCGCCAGTATCAAAAGCTCCAAGGCCTCTATGATAGCCTTAGGCTACGAAATATCACTATTGCTAACCAAGATGGTACCCTTGAACCATCTATGATTGCACAGTCTGGTGTTTTTGGCTTCCCATTAGGTAAGAAATGACATGTAATATCCAATATCTGTTCTTTAAATCAGTGATTTTTCACACTGTGCCTTGCGTAATTCCAAGCAGTTAGTGGAGACTCCAGAGACCTAGAGTAGTAGTAGGCTCTAAGTTCTTCATCTGCATGTCAACCTGCCCATCATTACTTTTATCTATTTTATTTGCTTACATTTAAGTTACATCTTCAATTTATTTGAACAGAGTAAATAATTCCAAAATTAAAGTTGCAAATTGCCACTTCAAATGAAAAGCTATTTAGTTGCAATAATAATAATAATATTAGCTGACATTTAATGATTCCTTACTAAGTGCTAGAGACTATTATAACTTTACATGTATTTGTGTTATTTTCAAAACTTTATGAGGTAGGTGTTATTATCATCATCCCTATTTTACAGATGAGAAAACTGAGGAACATAAAGTTTAAGTAAATTGGTCAAGGTCACAGAGCTATCTTCAGAGCCCACACTCTTAAGTATTTGCTATCCTCTGAGAAGGCCAAGTTTTAGTTTCTTTCACGTGACAATACTGATTGTACAGTACTTAAGTTATTGTTGGTTGTTTGGTTTGTTTGTTCTTCTGTTTATTCATTCATACATTCATCAAATATTTACCAAACATGATTCATGTGCCAGGCTACTAGGCATAATCTTAGGCAATGAGGATATAAAGATTATCCAGATAGGATTACTGCCCCATGGAAATGTACAGTCTAGCTTTTCTGCTTATTAGATGCCTTGTCAGATGCAATGAATCTCGTATCTCTTCCTGAGTTCTCCCCTTTATACTACTCTTGATATAACAGAATCCAATAGATTTTACTATGCTATTAATAAATTTTGGCACACAAAAAAGTAAAAATTCTTGAGCTGGATTTTTATAAAACCTCATTTTTTGAATTTTATTGTGGGGGAGGAGACGATGTCCTAGAAAAGGCATGAAGTAATGAGATGAAAAATATCAGCTATGGGAATCGAAACAAAAATAAGTTTCTTCTTAATTTTCAGTTAATCATATAATTTAGTCAATCAAAGTATTATTGTTTGTGGGCATTATAGGTGTTCTTAGTTTTTCCTTGTCACGATCCACATTTATTTCAATTTCTTTCATTTTCACCAGTTCTTACCTGTTCCTCTTTTTGTGCACACTTACCTTTTTAATACTTTTACCTCTTGCTACCATCGTTGGCTTGAAGCAGATATAGTCAGCATTCTCCTTTAGTTATGTAACTAAAGCCAAGGATGCGTTCAGTGGAAGTTGTTAAATGCTTATTTTATTAGATCTATTGTACAATTTTTCTTAAGGCTATTCTAATTGATCTCGGGTCATAAATATGTGCCAGGTTTTCATGGTTGTCATATGTTTTCCAGAGTGTTTATGGAAATCCTAAAAAAAGATTTGTTCTTAAACAAAAGTTTACACACACACACGAATACATATGTTATTCCTTTGATATAGATTAATAGATAATGAATGAAATTGTGGTACTATAAATTCTAGCTCTACTAAAGTATTTCATTGCGTTAAATTACTTTTGGTGATGAGATAATGGCTATCATTGGAAACTGCACACAGAAGAAGGTATGGTATATATACTGTGGTCAGGGGAGGGGACCGTCATAGTCCTTTTCTTTATCCAAGCTTTATGTTTTATCCATCTCATAGGAGTTGAGTTCTGTTACAATATTTATTGAATGACTTTGTCTTTTTGTTCCAAAAGATCTGTAAGGAAATAGATGCTTAAGTTCTTCCCTTATTTTTCTCCTAGGGAACAACTCCAGGTTTCCTTTGGACAGTACACCAGTTCGAAATCGGGGTGGTGGAGATGGAGATTTTCAGTTCAGACCATTTTTTGTGGGTTCTCCCACAGCACCTGAACCCACCAACAGCTTTTTTAGTTTTGCCTCCCCAAGTAATGAATTAGAGCAGCAGCAAGTCTCTAGCAGGGCCTTTAAAGTAAAAAGAATTTAGTTCACCTTACAGAATGTTTCTCTGTTTACTTTCAGTGATTTCATTTAGTAAATAATCTTTGTTTTAGATAGGAGTCACCACCCTCTCTGTGTTTGTATTGAGTCTTCGAAGTTGTCTTCACATTTTCAACTTATAAGAGATTCAGTGGCAGTGGTGGGTGGCTTTAGAATCAGGTTTCCTTTTCTGTTTCTATTCTTTAAGGTGTAAGCATTTTATTAAACTCAATTTTAGGGTGAACTGTTGAGTTTTCACTGGTAGTGAAAAGCTTACAATATTATTGGGTGTTTTGTAGATCACCATTTGTTTCTGTCTGGGGTATTTCTGAATAGGCCATGTTTTTAAACATACTATGTAAGCACCTATGTTATATGGCTACATGTCACTTTGGGTTCTGGTATTTATACATACATGTATATGTATGTTCCTTTACATTGTTTTTTTGCTGCATTTGGCAGTATGTTTATGTGAAGATTTTGGTTTCAGGAAATAGTGAGTGAGCCTGTAGCTTGTTACTTGGGTGTGTACATTTATTTGTATATATTTAATGCATTTGCCCTTGTATTAACTTGTTTGGAGGTGTGCTCATGTCAGTGAATGAAGGTACAATTTGATGCATGTATGTTTAGTTCCTATTTCTATTTAAAAATAATTCACATTGATAAAGTTATTTTGTAAAGTTGACTTTTTGGCATTTATTTTAGAATAAAATTACTTTCTTTACCCTTTTGCTAGCTGTTGCCCTGGGTCTACTTATTTAGAAATGCACTTCTACTGCAGAAAACTTACCAATGTGTTGTTGATCTCAAGAGATTATACTAATTAAAATACTTTTAATGATTTATTCCTTGTTTTTCTTTATTAAATAGTGATCATTTCTGATTACTATCACAGGAAACTTATTTAAAATGTAGAGCCAAGAAAGAAATTTGAAGGACACTTTCAGTAACTTTACATCCTATTAGAGGCAAGACTTGAAAGTATACTGGTTGGGAGGAAGAAGATCAAGGGTCCAGTTTTTTTTTTTTCCATCTGTTAGTTGTGCAAGTTTGAGTTTAAATTTCCTGGGCCTTTGTTTCTACATCTGTAAAGTGAGGGATTGAATTAAATTATCCTTACAGCCTTTTCTACCTCTTAGATTTTATGATTTATTGTTACTGGCTTGGGAGGAACTACAATGGAATTACCCTAAATTCCAAATTCCATTGTTTTTTAGGTAATAAAAGTCATACTGAAATCATTTGAGGATATTTTATATTTAGTTATTGCAGAAAGGCAAGTGAATGCCCTTGCTTTACATAATTTAATAGCAAGCAAGTAATGTTTTCTTCTTTAGGGGTATAGAATATAAAATCTCTTCAAAACTATTTTTTACTGAACCCCAAAGTTAAAATGGTGTCTGAGAAAGAGGATGAAAAAAATCTTGACTTAAAAGCTTAAAAACATTTTTCCCTATTTCATTGCTAATTACACAGATTTTATAGATTGCAAAGTTTTTTCTGCCCTATGAAGTTTTAAATTTTGTTAAAAAATGATTTGAAGAAATAATTTTTGTACATTCATGAGTTCTGCCCTGAATCTTTGCTTCTTCCTTTGTTAGGTTCACAGAATCAGTTTGAAGTGTAAGTAAGCTATAATTAAAACTAAAAGGTAAAGAAAAACTCTGGTGGACTATTACATGGTACTTAAAAAAAAAGTTATTTAAGTGTTTAATACATTCATATGGTACGAATTCAAAAGGTACAAAAAAAATTCACAGAGTGAAAATTCTACCTTTCACCCCTCTTCCCCAACCACTCACTTCCCCTTTCTGGAAGCAATTCCTGTTCCCAGTGTCTTGTGTCTCTTTCAGAGATAGTCTATGTGGAAGCAAATACTTTTTTATGTAAAAATTATGTTTGGGAACTTCCCTGGTAGCACAGAGGTTAAGAATCCACCTGTGTCCACCTGGGGACAGAGGTTCGAGCCCTGGTCCGAGAAGATCCCACGTGCTGCGTAGCAATTAAGCCACTGTGCCACAGCTACCGAGCCTGCTCTCTAGAGCCCGTGAGCCACAACTACTGAGCCCATGTGTCTAGAGCCCATGCTCCACAACAAGAGAAGCCACCGCAATGAGAAGCCCGCACACCGCAACGAAGAGCAGCCCCCACTCACTGCAGCTAGAGAAACCCACGTGCAGCAATGAAGACCCAACGCAGCCAAAAATAAATAAATATATTTTAAAAAAATTTTTAATAAAAATTATGTTTGTTTTTGAATAGGTAATACATGTACATGATAAAACATTCAAAAGTGTACCCAGTGAAAAGAATGTTCTTTGCCTAGACAACCCTCAGTCCCCCTATTTCCCTCTCCAGAGACATTGTTTTTTTAAATACCCTTGGGGATAAAGCCTATCAATATATAAGCATTATTAGTGTACTAATACATATACTATTAGTGTATTAGTGATGGCTATCTTTTTTTTTTGCGGTACGCGGCCTCTCATTGTTGTGGCCTCTCCCGCTGCGGAGCACAGGCTCCGGACGCGCAGGCTCAGCGGCCATGGCTCACGGGCCCAGCCGCTCCGTGGACCGGGGCACGAGCCCGTGTCCCCTGCATCGGCAGGCGGACTCTCGACCACTGTGCCACCAGGGAAGCCCGTGATGGCTTTCTTAATACCATCCCAAGTGCAGTAAATTTATTAGGCTGGTGTGTTCAAAATCATAAAATTCCTCATGTATAGAAAATCACTGTAAGGCCTGGAAAACATTCAGACAAGTTACCTTACCATTGTACTACATTTCCTGCAAAATTTTAAACTTAACAACACAGGCATCCACTGTCTTAGCTTGTTTTCTTTTTTGGGGTATTATAATCTTGGTATAAATAAATAGGAAGATACGAAACAATAATATGTATACACTCAATCTGAGAACATTTTGTTTACAGGATTTGGAAAAGAAACAAGTTTATGAATTCGAAAGTGATTGCAGACCATTTCCTTTGAGCTATAGGCATTGGGTTAATTAGGTTTGGAGCGACGCCCTTCTTTGAAAACCAGCTCAAAACCAGCTTCGTTGAAAACTCAGGCGCGGTAAGCCTCCAGGGCTCTAGATGTCGCTGTGGCTCCATGGTGGGGACGGGTATGTGTCTCTGTGGTTATAAAGTTGGGGGCGGAGAAGCTAAGGGTGTCTGGGAAATGATGGCTGAAGAAGAGGAAGAAGTCAAGATTTTGCCGAAATTGCAGGTGAAGCCATAGATTAAACTCTGTCTTACTCGGGAGGAAGTAGAGAGCCCAGTTTATGCAGTGCCTTCGAATTTCTTGACATATACCCGCCGCTGGTGTCTGTGTGGTTACTATAACAACTCCCGAAGGTGCAGCCGCAGCTGGCTAGGGGAGGTCCCGGGCAGGGGACGGACGCAGCCAGTTTGTTGGGACCGCCTGCTGCTGACCTGACTGCACTCAATTTCAGACCTGTTGGGAAGAGGATTTATTGCTAACTTTATTCCTGTACATTCTTGGGAATTTTTTTCCCCCTCAATTCACTCAACAAATAGCATACACTTGTGTTTGGCAGATCTGCAGGAGCTGTTACCTATCGCATGTTGTTTTGATCCCCACGAAGACCAGTACTTTTCTGCTTTCAAATTGGCAGCGATCACAGTAGTGGCTTGCACCGCGTGTATTCTGGTTACTCCCCTTAGAACTTCACAGTTTTGATTTTTTGCACACTGTGCAATTCCAGTTTGGGGCCTGGGGCAGAAGTCTCCAGACTTCACCCAGTCCACAGTTGACTGTGGTGAGTGGGACAGTCTTTTGTACTTGGTAGGTAGGAGCTAACTAATTGCTTGGTTCTTTACCTTTCTTTTGATGACCGAAGATTTTTCTTAAATCTCAGAAACTGAGTTTTTTGTGTTCTAAGACAGCCTGAAATTTAAACATTAGGCTTATGACAGGCTTGTAACTTTCTTAAAGGCTTCTACTGCAAAAGTTTAAACATTGGTGAGATTTCTTTGTTTCCTGAGCAGATTAAAATAATAACGCTTTTTAGAGTGTGAGCTTTATTTCACATCCAGTTGACTTTGATTAATTTAATTTTTTTTTTTTTTTTTTTTTTTTT